AAGCCAGAAAAAGTAAGTGGAGAGACATAAAACTGAAAAATAATGAAAATAACAAAGAAAATATGAAGAATGAGTTAAATAATGCACCCTATGAATGCTCAACAAAAAATATGCACCTTTGGATTCAAATAGTGTCTCATGTAGTACTTTGTTTGCTTACAATATGTTTATTCCAAAGCAGCACTGCATGTGGTCCTAAAACTTGTCGAAAGCTGGTCTCCATGCCTGGTCCTTTGGCGGAGCTCTTTCCTACATTTTAGCACCTGAGGACACCAAGCTGATTCCTATTTCACTTTTACAGTATGAAATACCTGGCCTAGGATGTTCTGTAATTAAATTAAATCCACCAGCCCTGAGCTTACTTGTCTAGGATTCAGGTAAACTTGACTCAATTCCTATCTCTACCTACTTGAGTGGTGCCACAAACCCATTTCTGCATCATGATTTGTTAAGTATTTTTTACTCCCTGCAAGCCATTACACAAATAAATCAATAAATCCTTATGAGATGTTTCCAACCTCAAGGGTCTGTCATGGGGTGTATTATTAGGCTAGCAAATTATTTCAAAGCCTGATAAAAGAACAAGGCATTATCATGCCTCTCTCTTTTTTAAACATCACAAATCAGTTTGATCAAGTTATCTCACTCAGATATTAAATTAAGTTGTGATTCAACTATTATGTGTCCCAAATCCTCTTTTCTAACTTAAATCTAAAGCAGATTTTCAATTTTAATAAAATCTAAGAGTAATAGAAGTGTGTGTGCACACACAGAGAGGTGCTCTGAGATAAAACAATGTGTGGAAAAAGAAGCCTCTCACTCTGCGCCATCCCCATGCACCGTCTCCAGCAGCGTCTGATAAAACCATCACTGTGCTACTCATCATCACATACCAGTCACACCTGGGCCTACATTATAGTTCATCATCCAGGGTCAGAGGAAGACCTAGATGCAAACAGTGCTGCACAGTCAAGCCAGATTTAAAGAGCTATTTCCTTAGAAATAAATAGCCCTGTTTGGCTATTTATTTCTAAGGAATTCACAAGTGTTGCTCACAATTTCTAAGCATTCACAAGTGTTGCTCAGCATATGCTAGAATTAGTGGAAATATCTTCTGAATGCTTATTCATGTTCAATAAACTGGAGTATGATTTTTTCCTGATGCTGACTCATAGGAATTGTATCATTCTCCTGAGACATCCATCCAGTTCAATGAGACCAACACAGAGATGACACCTCAGCAAGAGTCCAAATCTGAGAACACTGCTTTTCTTTTAAGGGATCTATATTTAAATAGACAGCCAGGACAAGAAAGAAAACAGTAGCATCTTCCTATTTGCTATTATGGAATTTTGGCAGGCTCTTTAACTAAATATATGTAAGTGAAAAATTTTATCTTATGGATGATACTGCTAGTCTTTATGAAATTTGGACGATCAAGTAGAGTGATTCTTAGAACTTTCTTATCCCAACTTTCCCTTGCACTCATTGTTATGGCAACATTTGTGAAGGCTTTCCTAAACTTACAGGAGAAGCAGACAATCCTAATTATATTATCTTTATTTCATTGCTAAGTTGAACATCTCCCTATCATGTTATAGAAAACCTTCTCACAGAAAGCTGCCCTCAGACTTCAAGAAAAGAAACAGTATATTTTAAACTTAATTCTTATGCCTAAATTTTTATGCTTATAAAACTTGCTGAACTGACATCTCTAGTGGCTGGGGTCTTTTTTTTTACACACAGAATATAAATATAAGAGAAAAAAAACCCCAAAACAGCAGAAGCATCCCATGGCAACGTCCTTTGAAGCTGTCTTTGAACGATTACCTCGAGGGG